AAGTCCCTGCTGTACTTTGCATTGACGGAAGCAAAAAAGAATTACATAACTACCTCCTGGGGTAGGGTTTCTCTCTTTCTTTTAACACCAAAATAACTCACTGTTTCACACTGCTGCTTTCTCTGGCACAGTGTGCGTTACATCCAACAGCAGAAACTAATTTTAAAACTTGATTCTTTGCACAGAATCCCCTTAAAACTCCAAAGCCAACATTTTTCCTAAGCTTTTCTCTTCTTCTGGTTTTGCATTACAAGTGGCAACAAAATACTGTACTGTGCATGCTACAAAGTACTGTGTCACTTTATAAACCTTATTTTTAATACACATTCATTTAATGCTTGCTTCCAGAATTAATGGATGAAAATCCATTTCTAGACATTGAAGAATAGAAGAAAATATAGGTCCTTAGCTTACCAGTTGACGCTGACAAATCAGCACTTTAAAAAGTTACCTGAATGGATATGCTTCTGTGGGTGGGAGACAGTTGGTCAATCAAAATTCAGTTCTCATTACTTTATTATCCCCCCTCCTCATTCTCCCCCACCTCCCAGCCCAGAAGCTGCTTTAAGACTATGCCACCCAATCATAGCGATTGAGTCAGTTTTAGATTTGGTGTCACAGCAGTTGTCAGTCATTCACAATACTTGTGCCTATGTTTAGGTTCACTATCATGTACAAAGAAGGACTTGAGTTTTTATTAAAAATATAAATAGAAAGGGGATATTTTCTGTTCATTTTTTCCTCTAAAAATATCAGGAATATCAAATCTCCTTTTCCCTGTTCCTCGCTGGAAGGCTTCTTCAAATAATCAGAAAACTAGACTGGTAGGTTGGGAGCTATCTCAGCCTTTAATCAGTAGGATGAGCATATTGTGGGTATATAAATCTTCACTTAAAAGAACTTTCCTCACAACTGTTTTTTGAGGTATTTGAGTTAAATGAATTTAAATTTAAGAAAACACAGAATTTGGAACAGCTTGATTAAAAATCACTTATCTGCTAAAGTGCTTAGGTTTCACATCCTTAGTGTTTTCCCTGCCCTAATTCTACTTGATCTTTTGGCATCTATAGGGTTTTCTAGGGTAAATTTGATGGACCAAACCAGTATTAAATAAATCTAATGCCTTTCAGGCCTTCTCTCTGCATGATAATGAAGCCAAAAAGGCAGCAGACTCACTTTTTTTCCTTTGTAGGTCACCTTTAAAGTGAATATAATGCTAGTGAAAAGGGTTGGCTAGATAGCCTTGGCTTGTAAAATCCTCTGTTAGGGTTGCTGATTTGTGTGATAGAAGCATCCAGCTTGCTTCTCAGCTCCCAGGTAGAGTTTGTGGGTCTGACAGGTTTTTATTTGAATACAAAGCACAACTAATCAGGAGTCAGTGACCGGCAATAATATTGGAAAACCTCCCCCAAATGCCATTATTAGAGTCACTTTTCAGAGTGAAACTTCATTTTGAATGCTCAGGTTACTACTTTGCATTTGTGGCACTGAGACTTTTCTAAACTGGATAATAAAAATGTGTTAGGGAAAATAAAAATCAGTCCTGTTGCAGTGCGGGAGGAGGGGGGATAAACCGAGGACCTTTAAAAAAATCCATATGAACCCAAAATATGATGTGATTTGTGACTAGTTACTAGTTTAATTCTATGCAATCTTTAAAAAAAAAAGTTTCCATTTAAGACAAAACACTCCAGAAACATAATACATTGCTCTAGTCTCTTAACAACACTGACACCATTGTGGACTGAGGCATGCTGGTAAGCAGAAGTGTGGAAAGTTTCCATGCCATGGCCTATGCTATGCTTGACGGTCCTGCTCCTCTTACACACTGGTACGAGTCCTTTGGGTTCAGTGGAGTTACTCCTGATTTACACTATTGAAAGTGAGAGATGCATCAAGTCTATTATGTGACCAAGTAGATTGTAAGCGTCTCAGGGCAGGGACTTAGTGGTCTGTGTTTGTACAGTGGAGTTCAGGTCCATGTGTGGGGCTTGAGTGCTATCTCAGTGCAAATAATAAGAAATACGAGTTCTGCAAGTCAAATCATGCCCTCAGCAACACCAGTGCAAATCATTTGTCATCCATGGATTTGCACAGGTGTCACTGATTGGAAATGAGTAAATAAATCAGTTGATGATACATAGGAAAAAATAGACTCCAGCTCCCTCTTTCCAAGCTGTGTTGGCTGTGCAGGACTAGTGCAAATAAAAATGCAATACATTCCAAACATCTGCTGACTTCAGTGAAAAATTATTCTAAATACACACAAAGAGGAGATCAGTTAATTAGGAAAGTGCCATTTTTGTACAGTCATTTTTCTGTTTTTTCTCTTCAGCATGCATGCTGAAAAATGAGCTCTGCCATTCTTAGTTTTTATTATCACACAGTTGCTGGGGAACATTCAGCTCTCAGCCTTTGTTCTGTTGTTACTAGAATGGAATTTCAACATCTCTGCTTTGAGTCCATGTTCCAAATAAGCTTACTGGAATGTCACTAACAAGAAAGTGTGTTTGAAGGTATCCAATAGTGTAATCTCCACAGCAGCGAGTGTTCCAACCAGTTGGTGGCTCTGTATGGCAACCACTAGATTTAGCAAGAAGCTGTCGATTCTGACTACTTTAAATAGTGAAAATGACATCCAGTGTGGAAGGAAAGTACATTTGCCCCAGTTAAAGCATTTGGAACAAATACATGACATGCACATATGCCTTTAATATTTGTATGGCATATGCATGCAGAGATGTTATAGGGAAAAGTGAGCAGATTTGTGACATGCTCTTGATAGGGCAAATGGCAGCATTTTGCCCCTCTCCAGTGAAAGGGCAGCAAAAAGCCTATAACCTGTAAATAAGGGGAAATGGGGTTTGCATACTTCTCCCAGTAGTGTTATGCCCCCTCAGAGATTTGTTAGTGCTCAGTGCTCTGGTGAAAATCATGGGTGGGGTTTTGCACACGCTCCATCTAAACTATTACTTAAAAGAGATGCCTGTGTTTCTGTGGGTTGCCACTCCTGTCAGTGCCTCTTCTGTATCTGTCTCAATCTGTATGAGATCCCTAGGCATATTCTCAGGGCACAGACCCTTTGTCTGGCAACTCTTCCTGAAAGCTTCTGTCCAGCTGTTGCCCCGTTGGACCCAGTAGTGACCCTTCAGACTCCCCCTTAGCTCAAACACACCCTCTCCTAGACACCCACAACTATGTGAGCCATTAAACTCCCTCAGGAGTCCCATGGTAAGTGTAAAACATGTTACACACACAGATATTTTGCACAGAACCAAGCATGTGATTATTCTTTAACAGCACAAGATTCACACAAAATAATAAACTCCCTATAAAGCACATGTTGAGTCCTAAAGTTGCTATGACCACTAGGCAGCTAGCAATCTACAAATCCCAAGACTTGCAGAGAGGATTCAAGTTTGGGCATGCTGTTTACTGTTTGTGGAGTTAAAAACCTTCACAGCAAATAGAATTGACCTTCTCTGGCTTTACTGTCAGTGTGGAATATTTTCCCCGTCTAGGGATGTTAAATATCGGATAATTGAATAGTCAATTAACCTCATGAATTCTTATCGGTTACTCGACTATTCTATAGTCCCCAGGGGTAGGACTGACAGCCAGTGCCTGTATCAGAGGCAGCAGCGCAGGATGCCAGGCGGAAGTTGCTCCGCAAGGGGAACCATTTTAAAAAGCAGCTCCCTTCACGGACCAGCTGCATGTCGCCCTGAATTTCTATCCAGAGTGGGGGGTGGGTCTGAGCTCTTGGAACTGAGCAGGGCTGCCTACCTGCCTGGCTTCTAATACAATTAAATGCAGAGCCACAGCGAGTGTAGGTTCCAGACCCAGCACAAGCTGGGACTGAGTCAGGCTGCCTGCCCACCTGGCTTCTAATGCACTTAAATGCAGAGCTGCAGCAGTTGGAAGTCCTGGACCTGGCACAAGTGGGGACTGAGCTAGGCTGCTGGTCAGCCTGCTACAAAATTTACTGGCGGAGGGAGAGAGGGAAATGCGTATAGTCTATAGCGATGGTCACCTACCAGTAGGTCGGGATCTACTGGTAGATCTTAGAGCCTCTGACAGGTGATCCTGACTGGTTTGGCCAAGAGGCTATCAAGCACAGCACTTCAGGTGTGCACCTCCCCCCACTGCTGTTCAACTCCTGCCCTTTGCCTTGGAGCTGCCCCTCCCTGGGGTCCTCCTGCTTGCTGGGCAGGGCAGAGGAGATAGGACCCTGTATTCTATCTCCATAGAATTGGGGGAGGGGGGACAACAGGGCTTGGGAAGGATGGAGTTTGTTGACTGCTTTGGAGAACGGGGCAGGGCCAGGGCAGGGGTGAGCCTGTCTTAGCCCCACTGCATCACCGCCCAGGAGCCACCTGTGATCAGCAGTGTCCAGATAGAGCCAGCTCCAAACCTCTGCCCCAGTCACGAACCCCCTGCTGCACCCAAGCCCCCACCCCAGCTATGAGCCCCCTGGATCCCCACACTCTTACAGAGCCTGTTCCCTGAGTCCCCTCCTGTATCCCAGCCCCCTGCCCCAGGCTCAGTGAAGAGCCCCCTCACACTCCAAATCTCCAAGACTAGACCTGTGCCCCAACCCTCTGCCCCAGCCTGGTGAAAGAGAGGAAGGATGGAGTGAGCAGGGGCGGGGCCTTGGAGAATGGGCAGGGCAAGGGTATTTGGGTTTGAGGTAGATCCTGGATTGCACTTAAATTCAAAAAATGATCTTATGCTTAAAAAGGTTGGAGACCATTGGTCTATAGCATTAACCTATAAGCTTTTGCTTAATTAGTTAATCGGCTATACTAATACATCCCTACCCTGTCCTCATTCCTTTTGATTTTGAGGATGTAGGCTGTAGCACTACACACACTAAAGAGCTTTAATTTCCTGTCTCTAACAACTATAAAAGCTGGATAAGAGGGGGAGGAAATGGGGAGGAAATCTTGTCAACACTGTTTTATTATCCCACATAGTAAACACAGTGATTTTGCTTGCAGGGAGGATGCATTACTAAACTGGAACAGTTCCTGGCAGATCATCTTTTGATAATGGGAGCTGTTGGCATAGGAATAGCTTGTCTTCAGGTAAGTCCCCCCAGCAAATTGAACCCTGGTTTATTGTTCCAACTCACACCTGCAGCCCCAGAACCTTGTTTGCACTTCATGTTACCACTGAGGAAGGTGAACTGGTGGCAGGAGCCTCAGAAGATTTTAGGAAAATAAGTCTAGCATCCACAAGACCTCGGTGTGCTTTTCTGTCACTTGTCTTTTAGATATTGCACATAATATCATCTGGATTTGTATGTAAAGCTTGCTTTTTTTTTAAACTATGAGATCTTAATCCAGTAGCTTTTAGATATTGCACATAATATCATCTGTATTTGTATGTAAAGCTCACTTTTTTTTAAACTGTGTGATCTTAATCCAGTAGTTGATCGTGCAGCTGTGGTTGGCATAAATAGGAAATATAAGGTTTTCAAATTTAGTACCTCTGACTTAGGCTTCTCTTGATGATGATCTGGCCCATAGTTTCTTCTAACAGGGTTTTCCTGGGGGGGTTTTGTTTTATTGAACAGTGAATCGCACAGCACTCTTTTAACTAACTGAGTGGCTTTTGAGGCCAGTTTAAACCACTTTCTTTATTTAAAAAAAAGAGAGAGAGAAAATGAGCAGATACAGTAGCAAAGTTTTCTCTGTGAGAACATCATGTATGGGTGATAGGTAGAGAACAGCCCACTATGACAATTAGTTCCTTCAACTCTGAGGGAAGGATGGATGGATGGATTTCTTGACCTCATTTCCTGTCTGTGGGAGGGAAAGTTTATTTGGGAAACAAGCTTCCCCGTCTCTCTTGTGAATGAAACAATTAACTGAAACAGAAAGAGAATGACAAATCATTTCAGGCATCTAGGGATAACGCTAGTTGACACTATTCAAGTGGCAAATAGCTGGATTGTCTTAACCAATAAGAAAACTGTCTGCAATCAGCTGTAGTGGAAAGGAGGCAGCAGTATCCTCTTATCCTCCTAATTTGCTTTTTTTCCCTTCCCAAGATCACAGAGTAAGTCACTGACTACTAGGAACAGAACCCAGACTTTTGTTTTTCATAGATGCTTATATTCCAAAGCCAGAAGGGAACACTAGTCTGATATCCTGTATAGCACTGGCTAGAGAACTTCCCCAAAAGAATTCCTTTTGAATTAGCATATATCATTTAAAAATAAAACCAATTCAATCTTGATATTAAAATATTCAGTGATGAAGAATCTACCATGGTCCTCAATACATTATTCCAATGGTAAATGACTCTCCCTGTTAAAAATCTATGCCTTATTTTCAGTCTGAATTCACTTTTGAGCCACTAGGTCATATTATATCTTTCTGTTTGACTGAGAAACCTATTATCAGAGATATGTTTCCTAGGCAGGTAATTTTAGACTGTGAGCAGGTCACCCCTTAATTCTCTTTGTTAAACTAACTAGATCCTTCAGTCAATCACTATAAGGCAAGTTTTTCTATCTCTTGTGCTTTAACCATTAGACAATTCTGCTCCCTTGGAAAATATTTTCTCCCATCTGGAATATTGGTGTTAGATTCCATTTCTCTCAGGTTCTTATAGCAGAATGACATGTACTTTTCTGCTCAAAGGTCTAGCAAAACTTCCCTTTTATGTTTCACAAGCTTGGAACTTGGCAGAGGAAAAAAAGACAGGAAGTCTTAGATCTGAGATGTTTGTAGAGATCAGGGGAAATATCAGAAATTCCATGTGAACCCTGGAGCAGCTAATTTATTATCTGTTGCTTATATAGAGGCATGTTGCTATTAAGCTTGAACACATGGGGGCAATTTTTTTCCTTCAGTTCTTTGTTCAGGACAAGTTGTTACTAATCCTGTGGCATTAAATATTCAGGAGTCTTCTCAGAATTTATGGTTGCAGTACTTCTGATGCAAAATGATTTTGGATGTGGACATCTCTTGTCCACTAATCATAAATTTGTCAAAATGGGAAATAGGCTTGTTTGTTTCCCTCCTTCAGTGGTTACTGATAAGTAAAGTTGGTATTTCACAATGCACTCCAGAAAATGGTGTGTGGCCCTATCCCATCTTTAGTCATTTTAGCAGTAGTGTTAAGGGAAATAATTCTGATTACCCGTTATTGACAGAGATGAAAGGGTGTACTCCTAATGCTAGCTACAAAACTGCACATTCACTTTCCAAAATGGACACTGTAGTGAATGGAAAAGAGAGAGGAAAAAATCTGGGTTATTGGAGCTTGTCCCTAGAAATCTTCCAGATTCCACAACTGAGGAAGAGCTCAACATGGTTCTGTCTTCCTTTGGAACTTATAGTAAAAGAATTTCACACTGAATATTGAATCGAGTGGTCTCCAGAAAAAAAAATCGCAGTAAAAGGATTATTTTTAATATCCAGGGGAAAAAACAAAGACATTTTTTCTTTCCAAGAATGTTAAATGTATCCAACATAACCTAGCCAGGAAGGAAGTCTGACTTTTGAGTTTAGCTTGGTCTTGAATATCAGCAGGCATGACTCCTCCCAACCATCCTTTCCCTCTTCAGTCTCCCAAGCCTTTACAGAAGGACCTGGCAGCTCTCTCTCTCTCTCTCTTCTAGGGAGAGTGACCAGACTGACCGACATGTTCAAAATGCACATACTCTTTAGAAGATTTAGTCAAAGATAAGGAAGCTATGCATTTGGTTGTCTTTTTGTGTAGGAAGAGGTCCTGGGAGAAAGTCAAGTTCCTACTGATTCCTCAGACATGTTTTAAATAACATATGGTGGCTGCATTCAAGCTTATGCTTTTAAAATGCTTGCTGTTGTGCTATTCCCACAAGGCTCCTGCAAGGTGTCTACAACACACACCACCGGTGGAAGTGCGTAGGGCATATATAGCTTCATGCCACAGCAAAAAGCAGGCTGTGTCCACACTACAGTGCATAACTGTTGTTTGTTGAGATGTTTTGCTTATGTCCATTCCACGACCCATGCTTCTACCCTTCTGTTGGAATTAGCCAGCAGGAAGGAACTGAAACGGTACAGGGCCAGCAATGCCCCTTATACTAGCACATGAGCTCCAGCGGGCACTAGAGTCAGCCTGACAGATATCACTGAGGGAAAAATCTCTGACAACAGTGCACACAATGCACATGCCCCTAATGTGTTGCTCATGTCCACTCCATGTCTTGAATAACAATAGTTACAGACCATTTTTTTTCTCTGTGTTCACTGAGGGTAGGACAAGAAGTAATCAATTTAATTTGCAGCAAAGGAGATTTAGATTATAGTTAGAAAGTTTTTCCTAGTATCTAAATTCTAGTTTGAACACTAGAACAGATTATCTAAGGAGATTGTGGAATCTCTGGCATTGGAAAAAAATTTTAAATAGTCAAGAAAAACACCTGTCTGACAGAACTTAGGTATACTTGGCTCTGCATCTGCATGGGCAAATGGACTACATCAGTGTTTCTCAATCTTTTTTTATAACGTACCTCTTTAAAAAAAAAAAAAAATACTCCCAGTACCTACAGTTTTCAGACACACAATTTTTTTCTACCTTTGCAACACATTTGTTTAAACAATTTAATTGTAGCCGGGTGGTGGTGAAATTTTGGGGTGTAAAAAGTACAAAAATAATAAAGTGCTGTAAAACTTAAAACAAAAATTCAGTTTTCTCCAAATTTCAGCTGTTGACGTACCCCCCCCCAGATTTCTCTCAAATACCCCTAAAGGTACTGTACCACTGGTTAAGAAACACTCGACTAGATGATCTTTTGAGGTCCTTTCACTTCTGTACCAGTAACTTTAGCCTGCAAAGCCTGGAGTTGGATTTTCTTCATTTGAATGCGCACATCTCAACCAATGTGCCTTTTAGCCCCTTAACCTCCCTGCGAGCAAGCTGAAACGCTAACTAGACATGCTGTGAAGGCAACAAAGATGTCAGCATCCGGGTTGCCAGCATGAGCAGAACACTCCCTATGCCTATTTGAAGGCAGTCTATTCCTGTCCCAGACACTGACTAGCAGCTTCTTTTTGTCAATGAATAGAGTTTTTTGTTTAAAACAGTCTCTTGGAAGACACCCTCACATCCTTTATACTTGAAAGTTCTGTCTTCCTCTTCCTGTTGCTCAAGTCGAAATTTAGATCGGTTTAAAAACTCTTAAAAACTGGGGGAATAAGAAATGTTGTGTGTCAGAAAGTTAACTTTTATTTAGAACATCAATTTTAAAAAAAACCTTACTAGCTTTAGACCCTATGTACAGATAGAGTGGGATACTTAAAAGCACTTAATGCTGTCCTAGCCCTGAAATCAGTGTTGAAACTCCCATTTTCGTTACCAGAGCAGCAGGCCATTGGTGTGAGTTTTTGAAAATCCCTCCCATAATGAACCGTGGTAGTCTGTATTACATACAAATACTGTGGTCTTCAGCTAGAATCAAATCAGGAACCTTCACCTCTAAAAAGCTCATGTTTGTAACATTTGGTTTAAAGGAAAACTGCATGAGTGGTCCGTGACTCCTCCATTTGGGGAGGCTGGGCACCCCCAATCCCTTCCCCTGGGCCCTCCTGCCCATTCGCTGGCCACTCACCACTCATACATGCCTCTTCGCCCTCTCTTCTGAGGGCCCCATGCAGGCAGAGTGAAATGGGGAGGAGAAGAGGGGAGGGAGAAAAGAGCAAGTGGAAGTAGGGCCTGAGGGCAGAGCGCAAGTGGAGTCATAACTAGGGTGCTCTCCGAAAGCAACAGACTGGCCATTTGGGGAGGCTAAGCCTCCCCAGGCCTTTTATACTCACCACCCATGGAGACTTGTGCGGTGGGCAGGAGGGAGGAGAAATCAATAAGTTGTTATAGTCTTCAGATCCAAACAGACTAAAGACCTTCCTCTATGAAAGGTCTCTCCAGCCACCTTCAGAGGACTACCTAAGTGCCTCAAAACCACCATCTGAGTCAAAAGGTATGGACAAATCATGTCCCCTCTTCTGGCAAGTCTGTCTCACAATTGAGACTATCCCCAAGTCCGATCCTTGCCCTTGGCACTGATTGCCTCGAAAGTCAGCACTATGAACAG